GGAGAATTTTCATGAGAAGTTACGTGTTAGCATTTGGGCTCAGGCACAGAAACTACCCAAAGTACAGTAAAACCCAGGAGCATTGCAATGCTTTTTCCAAGCATATTCAGGCAGAAGAAATATATTCTAGAAGATCAAATGCATAACTATAACCAAAATATTTCATGAAGAGGGCAAATGGAAATTAAGGAACTGGTTCCGTGTGTTGGCTTTTTCTGTTTCTATCCTGGATAAAGTCCCCTGGTAGAAAGGATGACGAAGTTGGAGGTCTGATAATGCATTAGTATATTCACAGGTCTTCCTTGCCCAGAGTCAACAGGCTCTTGAACTTCTCAGCTGTTCATTTTAAAGGCAATATCTTGTCACTGTTTCTCAGGGGAAAACCAGTGCTCCCAAATTATGTTGTAGAAGAAACTGTAAATCATAGGTCATCACGAGTAATGGTGCCTTGGCTCAGCAAAGTCAAGCCCCTTTCAACTCTGTAGTCCTTGGGCTTGATGTGTGGGGTTTCCTCCCTTCTCCTTTTCTCTTTTAAAAATAATCATTCTGTTTTTGGTATTTTTCCTGTCCTCAACTTCGCTAGAAATATGAAAATAACAACAACAAAAGATCCCAGGGTACAGATGAGTTACACTGGTCAATGTCCTGTGGAATTAAGAGCCCCCTAATGTTGCTTAAGGAAACTGATGGTGATTGAAAAGACCATTCCAGAGAAATGCTCTACAAGACTTGAAAGTAGACAAAAATGTAGTGTTGTGGGGGTGAAAATGGAAAAAGCAATGGATCCCTCCAGAGGCTGATGGCAACACATGAAATTCTAGGAAAAACTGACTTTGAAGAGAAAGGCAAAAGCAAAGCCAACTGAAGAAGGGAAAGGGAAGTCAATGAGGAGTCTTGATTGGGTATGTTGATTCTTGTCCCCCTGTCATCTGATTCCCATGTCAGCCTCAAAAATCATGTGAAGACAGACAGCTACGTGGTGAGTCATGCTGTAGAGAGTGCTCTGCCATGATGCTTAATCTAGGAAGAAGGCTGGAGTCTAGTAAACTGGGGGTGGGAGATTTAAAATGAAAAATAAAACGAGTGGGAGGAATGGTAATTTAGTCTTTTAAAAACCAGGAAAGGTATGTACGCAAAAGCAAGAAGTAGCAGAGAAACGAAGAAAAAAAAATAGAGTAAACCAGTAAACAAAAAAGCGAACAACTACAACCAAAAGAACAGGTCTCAACAGAGAGAAAGGCATGTCATATAGACTTGTAGTAAATCTACATGTTATGATAGCATAAGCAGAAATATACTAAGTCTAGTAAAAGTGGATTCGTCTTAGTGACTGTTTGAACCATCTATTCACTTTTTTTCTGCTTTTGGTCCTTGAATTAAAGAAGCCTCCAGGTATGTTAGCTCTTCTCATCCCTAAACATTGCAAAACATTCATCAAAACAAATGAAGACAGAGATGACCAATATCTGCACTTTATCTTGATTCCCAGTACTCCATTTATCTATCAGTGTCCTTTGTGGTTTAAGAAATCAAGGACATCCCTATCCTGAGAAGCTGGGGACTGGGACTTTGGGCAATGATGGGACCTCTTTTGGTTTGACTTATGGTAACCTTTTGCCATCACTGCTGCCTTGCCTACAAGAGTATCTTGGAAAAGGACATGTCTAGCTGCTTCGTGATCCAGGAGGGGGCTTTGGAGGGTCAGAAAATGCACAATATTACAGAACTTTGATGGGAGGTAAGAAAACAGAGAGATGATGGTAATGGTGAATATTTCACTCAAGGAGTCTCCTTTCCTAAATGCTACTGTGGGAGTGGGAATCAACATTAGTTGGCATACCCACATTCTCTCCCATTTGTTTTCCATTAATCAAACCTTAGAAGTGTCTGCCACCCACAATGATAAAGGAACAGATGGTTTGCTCATGCTGTTCCTCTTGCCCTGAAGAGGAGCTGCTCTCTGTTTATATCACAACCCAAATCTTTCCACCATCTGCATTGAGGCTTCCTCCCTTCCCCAGGAGAATTAATCTTTCCTGCCCTCCATAGACCTCCCATAAGGGAAAATAACTAACACTTGCTGGGCACTTACACAGTACAGCTCAATAAGCTTTCACAAAACATTATCTCCCCAAATCTTTACACTACCCTTGAGGGATTGTTATCTCTGGTGTAAGACACGAAATCCATGACTCAGAGAAGTGGCACTTTTTCAAGGCCATGCTCTGTCAGAGGTCGGAGAGGGAGTCCATCCCAACCCGAGCCAGTGCATTACCGTGCTTAAAAAGTGTCAGCATGTTCCACCAGCTAGAATCAAACAATTCCCCCAGATAAATCTTTTAACCATTTGGTTTATTTTTATTATGTTTCCAAAGCAATCTGTGCTGTTTTGCTGTATCTCTAACATTAATGCAGTACTTGGCACCTAGTACAGGCTCCATAAATATGTGTGGAAGGAGTGGGTGTTTCATGTATGATAGTCACTATTGTGAACATTACCTGACTCTGTGGTTTCATATGAAGGGCTCCAGTTTTGGATTCAGAGCAGGTTCAAATCATATTCCTATTAATCATGAGCAGTTACCTTATTTTATTTATTTATTTTTTTGGAGCCTCATCTGCAAAATGGGAATAATCGTGCCCGCCTCCCTGAGTTGTTATTTCACATGTAACGTACTGTGAAGTGTCTGACACAGTGTCTGGCTCAGTCTCTCATCAATGCTGGCTAGTAATAATTATAATTCATGTAGGCCAGATGGTCATGTAAACAAATGGAGTATAAGCAAAGAGTGTTGTCCCTACGCCAATCGGAACCACCATAATTTGTGGGACAAAGCGTCAAAGGAAGTCTTTGGCCTCATGCTGCAGCTTGGCCAACCTCTCCCACCCACCTCCACCCACACCCTCAAGCCCCCAGCCCCTTAGGAAGGCGCTTAAGAAGCTTAGATCCCAGGGGAAGTTGAACCTGCGATCGGGTGGCAGCGCGTGGAGAACCCAGGCTGTGCTACAGAGGATGCGGGACGCCAAAACAGCCGCCAGGCTCACCCGACCCGCGCACCGGCGCCGCCGCCTAAGTCAGAGGACGCAGGCGGAGGGCGCGGGGCTCCAAGGCGCCCAGGAGGGCGGTGCCGCCGGGGAGCGCTCCAGGCTTGGCTGCAGGCCCCCCAAGAATTAGAAAGCGGGGACGGCTGCTCAGCTCGGCTGTGGCCTGGGAGTCCAGCTCGTCCCTCTTCCGCAACTTCCCACTGGTCCCATCACCTGGCTTTCTGTCTAGGGTCCGCCCAGGCGGGGTCCCAAGAAGGCGATGCCACGAGCAGTCGCGCCCCCCGCGCTCTGTGAGCCCGCAGGTTTCGGGCAACTTTGGCTTAGTCCTTGTCGCGGCCCGGGGCCCCTATGCTCCTGACTCGGTTTCCCTGACCTCCCGTTCCCTGGCCAGAGGAGGTGATGGGACGCTCGAAGTCCTGATCTGGGATGACTGCAGAAACCCCCGGATAGGGCTTCAGCGCAGACGGGACGTTTAATGATGTTTAGAAGGGCCTTTCCTCCGTTAGCCCTCAGCTCCCAGGAGGGCTACCCACTTGGTACACGGTCTCATTTTGTTTGAGGATGCTGATTTAACTCTGTGTGTGTGTGTGTGTGTGTGTGTGTGTCTGTGTGTGTGGGCGCGCACGCGCTTTGGTCCTTCATTCTTTGCTCCTAAAGCTTTCTTTAACAATATTGAAAAAAATTTTTTTTTCTTACTTGAAGTTCCTTTTGATTAATTTTAAAGCAGTGGATATTATGCAATAATAGACATAATAGTATATATTCTGTATTAAATATTTCTCATTGTTCCCCGACTTGTCATCAGTTTAGAGCCTTGAAAAAATCTCCATTTTAATATTAACACAAGGTTTTCCCATACATTTTTTTGAAAAGTTAGGGACAGTATACTAACTAATGAACTTCAGTTAAAAAGTAGACAATGCAAACGTTCTTCACTGCCACAAAGCTACCAAGTTAATAGACGGTGTTTACGGTTTTGGATTTTCGGAGAGCAACTTTACAATACCTGTAGGATTGTCTTGAAAGTCAGGTTCCGATCTTTAGCCTAAGAAGGTTAAAAAGCTAGTAAGTTATTTTCTTGTCACCCTTAACAATAACTGACCCATAATACATTAGCAATCTGTCCCTAGATTGTGTGGAATCAGATAGTTAAAATTAAATTTAAAAAGTTAAAATAGTTGTCATCACATTAAAAACACATTACATCAGTTTAGATGAACTGCAAGTAAATCATCCCCTTACCTTTTAGAAGATAGAAAGTTTAGTGACTACTATTTACACACTTTGAATATTTTATATTAGAGTGGTCATCATCATTTACATGGATTATTTTCTATGTCCATTTCCAATCCACAAATATCAGGGTGTCTGTTACGTAACAGTTAACATTTCAAGCTTCTCTGAAAAGGTGTCTTTATATAAAACAAGAAAGATAACTGCATATTATCAAAAGGTCATTCAGAGATTTTAAAAATAAAATCATTAGGGACCCATTAAGAAAACTACAGCAATTAACTATAATTTAAAAAATGTATATAGTAGCACAAAAATCAAAGTCTTAATGGACACTCACATGAGATAGTTCATTTTGGTTTTGTTTTGTTTTAAACATAGATTTCTAGAGCATTAAAAATAATCCTCATAGGTTTGTTAAACCTTTAGCGGAAGATTACAGCCCGTGTTTTTGTCTTTGGTGAATAGCTGTTTGTCTCACTTTATTTACTTGGTATTGGATATTTGTCAATGTCATTTCATATCTACAGAAAATTCTTACGCTCTGTGGAGGTAGTGAATGTGTGTGTGCGTGTCTGCCGGAGGTCACATGACGGTTTCATCCTATTTGGTGGAGCAGCTTGACTTTTTTTCCCCTTGCTTTTGGTGATGGTTGTGAGTGCAGAAGTTGATTGACAGATGCATGCCAGAAACCCCCATTCTCCTTTTCAAAGACAACATATGATGGATTGCGATCTCTCAGCGCAGCAGGACACGGGGACCATGCAAGCTGTAATTGGTCAGGTATGGAGTCAGCCATTTCTCAACTCCCCTTTTTTCCACAAGGGTCTCACCATATGATTCACATAATTCATATTTACAGTACCATCTTTCTATCTGTATCTTCAGCTACCTGCCAGTGTAGTGCTGAAAGTGCGAAAGGCAAAAGGCACCCATTAAATCTGACCAGGGAAACCTCAGCTTAAAACTTCAATGTGATCCTTTTAAACAAAAACTAAAACAACAACAAAAACACTGAGGGATAAATCTAATTTATAATTTGGTCTGAATGTTTCTTAAAAATCTATTTTAGAAATTTGCTTTCTTTTTAGATTTTGATCTCCGAAGGAAAGAAAGTGTGAGAAGAGAATCAAGTGTGGTTTTCTACGTAGTAGTTAAAATTTTTCTAATGCTGTTCAATATTTTTATTTTGACTGTGTTCTCTCCTTCTCTCTCTCTCTCTCTCTCCCTCTCTCACTTTCTCCATATGGGAAATATAAATATATAGATACATGTGCCTTGACTTCTAACCCAGATAATGTGTGATTGAGCCCGGTGAATGTAGTAGTAGTCTTGGCTGCTGCAGAGGGGCAGGCTGCAAATTAAACACTGCCACAATCTGAAAGGTCCAGGTGGTCTGCTCGCGCTTCCTAATGCAATCCAGCACAGCAGCTTTAATAAACAGCTCTATTTAGTGCCTCCTCCTTGTATCCAGGGAGGTGAGCTGGTCTGGGGCTGCTGTGATGAAATGCCAGAAGAATATCTCTCAGAGGCCTCACAAGCTGATTTTTAGAGCTTTCCTGCTCTGTCGTCTTTGTCTTCCAAATGGGTCAGTGAGTCTTGCTCTTTCTGTTTGGTGCTTTCTGTGAAGTCAGTAGTTTATGCTTGTGTTAAAATGTTTGCGTTGTAAGCTAAATCAGAAGGCGAAAAGGATCGTTGTATTTTCATTTGCCTTCAGATAACTAAAGTGGTGAAAGGAAGGATAGTACCTGCTGCAGAGGGAGGGTGATTTTTCTGACTATGATGGGGGTGGGGTGAGGAAAAAGGAAATATACATGGTTTCTTTCTCTTTTTTTTTTTGTAATGTATTTTTGACTAAATTTTTCTAAGTTATCTATGTTTACTTATGTATTGTTAACTCATAAACCAGACTATGCTCACGAATATTTATAAACTCCTAAAAGTTTTTTTTTTTTTTGGTACACTTTCCAATCAAGACAAGCTGGCAAGGCAACGACATAAAATTTGTTTGCTGTATGTTAATAGCATGGTGGAAAATATATCATCTTATTCTGTTTTCAACAAAATTATAGAAAAGCACTTCAGGGTTCTGAAAGCACATGGTTTATTAATACCAGCATGCTTGCTTCATAATGTATTTTTAGATGGAAAATGTCAAATACATAATACCATGTTTTCACAGGCTCACACTATTTTAAAAGAAGTAGATATTTGCTTCAACAGAGAAATATTTTTTAAAACTTTTAAGTTGGTTTTTGTTCTATAGACATATATATATAAAGTGAAGTCTCTAGGCAGGAGAAAATATATAAACTGATTTTATATACTCTTAATAACTGTTTCAATGTAAGTATTCACTGATGAGCAAATATATCAAATATAGCTAAAATAATAGTGGTGTAGGGAATGAAATAAATATCTGTTACAATAGATGACTTTCGCATATTGAAATAAAACTTGAGCCCCTAATCACTGTCTTGTCCTGTTTAATAAAACTTTTCTTAGGTTGCAGGTCCTGTCTTCTGTATGGCATAGTTATGGTTCTTAATACTGTGCAGAATTACTGTGCTTCAATCTCTAATAAGAAATAGGATTTCCTTTTTCTATATATTTCTGCTGAAAAATCAGGAAAGTCACCTGTAGTTTGTTATTGAGTATTGTTTTTTGGAAATCAATTGTAAAGGCATATACTTTTTAAAGGCTCAGGTATATACTTAAAAAAAAGGAATCAGTATATATTTTTACAGATAGTAGACTTAACTTCTAATTTGTCAGGGTTTAAAATTAGTTATTATTACAGAGTTCTGTGTTTTGTATGTACTCTTTAGGATAATTTTTAAAGGTTCCATATGTCTAAGAACTCTACCTGTTAATGACTTATGAATACACTGCCAATAGTTGCATCACATGCTTTCTGAAGGTGTTATTTCTCATAATTTGTTCAAAACTCCTCAAAATATCAAGTCAGTAAATTATAAAAGCAATTGTGTTGAAGGTTGTAAACATTTCTGTGCTAAAAATGTACAAACTAGAATGCTTATTTTTTATTTGAAATTGAAACAGTAAGTATTTAAAAAGAAAGAGAAATAGAATATTGCCCTATATGCATATGATAAAAGTCAGAAAGTCTATATGGAAACCATATCTAGAAATATAAAAAAGAAAAGTGCTATACATATTTGAAATGAATTCATTTTAATAGTTATAGCACAGATAAGTGTATTTACTCAAATGATTACTTTTAACAATAAGGAAAAGAATGTGAAAATAATTTTTATTGCTCTGCTGTCAATCAAAACCAGAAAGAGACGGTTTATTTTTTAGCTCTTGACTTAAATATCATCTTATATCTACTCAGCAAGTGTGAACAATCCCATTTAATAATGCAAATGTTTGTGTTTGTTTCTTCTCAAATACATTTTGGAATAATTATTATTTTTGTCTTTTTTTTTTTTTTTTCCTGTTCTGAGTCCTGTTCCTAGATGACTTTGGGTTGGAGGAGCAAATAACCAGTTTTCCGTCAGAATATTGAAAGATTCCCATGAAGTATGAGCTTTAGGTTTTTTCATTCACTCTTAGGATGAAATATCCACAGTTGCTTCCACTGTAGGAAAGAGTAGACTTTTCTGTGTTTCTGGCCGTGATCCAGCTCAGGACACAGCGCTGGCTTCACAGAGTAGAAATTGCTCATATATGCCTTTCCCCCAGGATTTCTCCTCCCCCAAGCAAGCAATTAAGCAGTCTAGTACTTGGAAGAACAAACTCCCTGCCTGGTATATCAAGATCAAGAAACTTGGTTCATTCACACAATTTTTGGAAATCAAATCAGATTTCTGATAGTAATTACTTGTAGTTAGCTTCCTAACCCCTTGAATGTAGGATGGATTGTTATCCAGGGGATGATTTTCAATTCAATTCAATTACACAGTTAAGCAGGTTCTGATCATGGGTTGGATTATCATTTAGAAATGAAGACTTGCATTTCCATCTCTTATGGCCATTAAATGTTTAGTGCTTCATTTCTTTTTTTGCAGACCTGAGCTTGTGAGTGACAGATTAGTTCATCAGTACTGCGGACCTCCTGTTTTTGTTTTTTCTCATCTCATACAGTCGGGTCACTGTGTCCAATACTCCTTCTGGCACTGCTGTCCCCAGAGGACCTAGCCAGCCCACCATCCTGATGCACAGGCCCGAGGGTCCCGGCTGGCTTCACGTCTATAGACTGACTTTTGCAAATATTGCAGAACAGAGGATATTAAATTAGTTGCTAATAAAAGCAACAGATGAACCAAATTAGATGAAAAGATTTATCATCTAAGAGTTTGCTGGGAGTGGGAGAGAGACAGCTGGATAAAGTGATCATGGATGCACTTCCAGTTGACATTGCTAAAGTACTAGAAGAAGAGAGAAGAGATCACGCATTCTATATTTTAATAGCATTAGAAGTACAATAAAAAGCTGTTTACAATTTCCCTTACTGGTACAATGGATCTTTTATTTTTCAAAGTACATTTCGACAATTTGAAGTGTTGTAAAGTTCTACGTCAGAAGACTAATGCAAATGTCTCAGACAGTGCTCAGTATGTGTGCATGCATTTGGCTTAACAGTATCTCCATGTATGTTTTCTCATATGGAGATTTTAAAACACACAAATATTTCACTGTTATAGCATAAAAACAATTAATTTTACATGGATGGTAAAATCCCTTGTTCCAAAAAGTATTTAATGTAGATTTAATAATAATTTGCTTACCTAAAATATGCTCAAACTGATGTGCGATGCAAGCGGCCTAGGGAGAGGGGACATTGGCATGATGTAAATAACACACTTGAAGATTGCCCTCAGTCGATTTAGACTGATATTCATGCCTTATATATAAAAATGAAACACTGGGGCTAACCTAACCCTGTTTTACTCATGCAAAGCATAACTCCCATAGACTCTTAAAAAAAGTCATTTTTGTGGGTGTGAATGCGTATATTTTTGAAACTGACAGATTGCTTCAACAAATTTATGTATTTTGGGAGTGTGAAATTATTACTGCTTGAATTTTATTGAGAATACCTTTTCCCCAAGGTATTATGGATGAATGGTATACTAGAAAAAATACAGATTAATTAAGGATTATTCTTTCTTATACATACTGGTGCTAGTATTCTTTTGGTAAGTGCCGGACTCACCAAAATTGAATTTGTAGTGTGTATTGTTTATTGACCTAAAAAGCTTCAGTTAATATTTCATTCATACTTATAGGAAAGTCCTATGTTAACATTTTACATTTTACTAGATGGACTTAATTTTTATTGCGTTTAGAATTTTTTAAAATTAAAGCAGACATTTAAATGATAAAGTCAATTTTGTCCATTTAAGTAAAATTTATCAATATGGTAATACTACTATACAATAATGTTAATACTAAACAAAAATTAGTTGAACTTGGGTCTTGAAACTAAGTTTTCTATCTCTAAGGTCAATTAAACTATACGATTCAAGTATCATTTTCAATGCTTAAGAACTTAAAACTTTTTGATTCTTACCTCTAACATATGCAGAGAGGTGGCTGCAATTTTTAAAATACAAATGCTTATGAAAGAAAGTTTGCATGTAATAAGTTTCCTGCGTGTAAAATCTATAGTATTTGTTTCAGAGGTCAGTGAAGGATGTTTCTTAATTGACCTTTTCTTTGCTATGTAAACTGCATATTACCAGTTTCAAGTATTTTTCTCTTTATTGCTGTGAAAATTGGAATATAATTAACATGTCTGCAAATATTGAAAAACT